AGGAAAATCGCCACGTATCTTCCTGTTGTTTACAACTGGTTGGTGCCACTCATTGGCCTCCTCGTAGCCTGTAGTGCGAGAACTGCGCGGACAGACAGACAGACAGACCGACAGACCAAGTACAGTAACCCTCGCTGCGCATGCGCGCCGAGGGTTAATGAAAAGCACTAAAGTGCAAAACTCTCGGCGGCGTCGAATAGCTTAAGTATCAGTATAGCTTTATGCAGTCTGTCACGTTCATGCCTGTACAACGTCTGCTCAATTGTTTCAGAGGCTCTTGTGGTTTCTTTACGCAGTCTATCACTTCTTCACCGGACTGAATTTGGTCGTATGTTTCAGCTGCCCTTGTGCTCTGTTTACGTAGTCTGTCTCTCTCTGTTCTCGCATATTTCTCTTCTTCAGTCTCTAAAGTTCTTCGACGTTTCATTGCCTCCTTTTTGGCAATACACTGCGCTTTCCTTTTGACAGAAAGGTATTCCCACGTACGCAAACCGCCCCTCTAGCATGTACTGTTGTGTCACACTGCAGACATACCTTCTTCAGGCGTCTATCGCTCTCCTTCGGTCAGCCCCCTTGCATACAGCGCACGGAATGTATGAGTGCTGATTGCCAGCTCAAAAACGTATTTTCACCAGAAACGACCAGAAGTTCGCTCGAGCACTGCCCTCACAAGAAAAATGAAACCCTGGCTGCACAACTGTGCTATTTACGGCGAAAAATATGCACAACCCACCAGTGTAACACACGCATGCGTATTTCTCGCTTCCTAGCGAATACTAATTAGTATATTGGCTTGTTAACTTTTATGAAAAGCGCCAAATTTAAAACCAAGCCGGTATAGCGCTGGACCTTCTGGTATCGCTCTTTCGTTGACTCGTTGCGCGTGGTTGCAGATAACGTGGTACAGACAGACAGACAGAAAAACTTACGGACCAAGTACAGTAACCCTCACTGCGCATGCGCCGAGGGTTAACAAGGGATACCCCATCCTATGCAAAGGACTATGAAATCAGTTGCAACGAACACACCTTTGAAGGTTCCACCATAAATAGATTCTCCACCAGTCCCATTCCCTAATTGGAGAGTCAATATCTACAAAGCATCATAGAGCGTACACAAGACCTTCACTAAAGTCTCCTCCCTGAACAATGAACCCTTTCACTATACGGTGTATTGGAGTCCCTTTGTAATGAAGGGGTTTAAAGGTACTCTTTCCCTCCCCCTTCTCTCCTAAAAACCAGAGTAAATAGTACATAAGTGGGGTATGTGCAAGACAGAAATCTAACCTGTACAGAGACATCTGAAGTTTTCACACGTGGTTGGGCTCACATCAGCAAACAGTTCAAAAATCACTCGACCGACTAAAGAAAACCGGTCTATATTTCAAAAGAATTGCTTTGGTCCAGGACTTACCAGGTGTACCATCGATAGAAATGTCGAAGAAACACCTCGGAAGGGAAGGCATTCTCCGGCAAGTCTATATAGTCTCCGCTCAGTACTAACTACGTTAGAAGGGCACTAAATGGAAATGACGGGGTGCGCTTGCCATACGTGCGCAAATCCAGCGCGTTTCGTTAGCGTGTGAGCATGAGGGAGGCAACTACTACTCCGCGCCGGGTTGTATTTACGAACGTACGTGTCAGGCACGCTTAATTAATCTGTATCACCAATATTGTGGAAATGTAAGTCCTAATTTTACTAAATGTTGAACATTGTTGGCGAGCGGGAGCGACCAAACTTGGGATTTGCCAGCTGCATATATAACGTGTCGTCAGCGCCTTCCTTGGAGCAAGACAGATGTATATACCTCGCCGTCGCCGTTACATGCATATCGTCCTTTTGTATTCCGACCGTCGTCGTCAGCACGGCAATCATCACTGTGAGGGTCTTGTGTTGTTCCTGAGTTTGTCTTTGCTTGGTGAACTCTGCTGTGCTGTTGTTGCTGTGTATATGAAGTTGCTACGTTAGTTGTTTTGTGTTCTATTTTGTTGCCGGTTCCTTTGGACCTAATTGATATTATAGTGGTACCTACTACATACTATGTCGTCAGCACGGCAATCATCACTGTGAGGGTCTTGTGTTGTTCCTGAGTTTGTCTTTGCTTGGTGAACTCTGTTGTGCTGTTGTTGCTGTGTATATGCGGGTGCCTCCAGAAGTTGCTACGTTAGTTGTTGTGTGTTCTATTTTGTTGCAGGTTCCTTTGGACCTAATTGATATTATAGTGGTACCTACTACGTACTATGTCCACAAGAAGTGGGGACAAACGTCTTGCTCAACCTGGTCTGAAGCCTTCCTTTGTTGAAGATAATAGTGGCTGGTATATTACTGTGGTATGTGGTAGCCTGTCTGGGCAACTTTATGCAAACAAATTGGATGACTCAAAGAAAGCCTTGGGTAAATGCATCTTGGCTAAAGGGACCTGGCACTCTCCACCTGAGTTTGAGGTACTTGGTGGGAGGAAAAGTAAAAAATGGAGACATTCTTTAATGCACCAAGGCAGGCTACTCTGTGAATATGACTTGACTTGCCCTAAAACCCCTACTCTTCCTCAGCCTCAGTTTCAACCTCGACCTTGTAGCAACGTACCAGCAGGGGTGTCTGTACATGATGTTTCGTTGCCACCTTGTTTCCCTGTTGGTTCATTGTCTTCCAACGGTAATGTTTTGACTTCGCCACCTCAGTCGCCTAGGCCACACTTAGTCAACCCTGTTTTGTCTTTTATTAAGGCTTTCCGTCTCAGGAGTGACAAAGATAGCTTAAAAAGAGTAGTTGCAGATCGTTTCAGCTGCGCTGCCATTGATGGTGCCAAGAAGGATCTTTGGAGCATCTGTTCAGAGAATCTTATGGCTGCTAATCTGCCATTCCAAGCTAGACGTGACTCTGACAAGCGTAGTCAGCTCACTGCCAACATAGAAGATTTAATTCAGGCTTTCGACACACTTGACTCTTCAGATTCAATTCCCCCCATCTACTGCGAGGCCAATGATCTCCTCCTCATGCCTCGTCTGTCTCTTGATCCAACTGCAGAACAGGTCCAGCAGAACACTAAGGTTTTACAGAATTTGGTATCCAAAGTTCTACTTCGTGTACACCTCCTCCAGAATCAGTTCCCCTTTCGTATGCTAAGGAAGCTTCTGCACAACCATCAAGTGTTAATCCTCTCCCTCCCACTAGAGCTCGGCCTGCTAAACCTTCTGACTCAAGAGCTTGTAATCTTGTTCTTTTTGGGCTTCCTGAAAGTGGTTCGATTTTGGAGCTTAAGTCCGATGTAGATGAGTATCTGACAGGAAAATCCGTGAATATAAATGATGTCTTTCGTCTTGGAAAATACTCTGCTTCTTCTTCCAAACGTCCTCGGCCTATACTGATAAAGCTTGCTACAGCTTGGGATCGCAAGATCATCTTAATCCAAAAGCGTAAACTTAGAGACTACAAAACTCCCCGCCTGTTCTTAGGATGTTCCACCTGACCATCGATTTCGACAGAAGGCAGAGCACCCTTTCCCCAAGGACAAGGTCTCTGTTTCTCAGAAGCCACCCTCAGTCCCTGCCAGCTCTGGTTCCACTCACTCCGCTGAAACATCAAAGACTGACCATCAGCTCAGAGGTGTCTCTCCTGTAGCCTCTAGTAGCTCTTCGAATCCACCCACTGATCTAACAATAGCACATTCTGTTTCTCCTGCTCTCTCTCACTCCTCCTCTACCTCTACTGTCCTACAGGGATCTGATCAGCATAATGGCTCAACTCAGATGCTGTAGTACAACTGTCGTGGTTGGAATAATGGTGTAATTTTCCTAAAAACTATTCTTGATTCCACTGATTTGTGCTTTCTTCAAGAACATTGGCTGATAACAGATCAACTTCATAAATTAAATACTATCAGTGATGATTTTCTCTCAGTCAGTATAAGTGGTATGGATAGCTTCTCATTACATTCTGGCCGTCCTTTTGGTGGATGCGTCATTTTATACAGAAAGAGTCTGTCACTGGCAATTTCTCGTCTCCCTACATTCTCAAATCGTTTCTGTGGTATTAGAATTAACACATGCGATGGACAATCTTTTCTCATGTTCAGTGTTTACATGCCTTATGATAATCATCCTTCCTCCTTTACCGATTACCTTAACACGCTTGGTGAGATACATGGGCTCATCGATGCTCACTTCCATACTGGAATCTTTCTAGTTGGCGACTTCAATGTGGACTTTGATCGCTCCGGTCCACTTGAAAAGTTGTTGTCTGATTTTATGCTGGAACTAGATATGTTGTCTGTTGATGTAGGTCATAGAAGTTCTATCACGTATACTTATGAACGAGATGATGGCCTGAGTCGCTCTTGGATTGACCACTTTGTATGCTCTCAGTCTTGCTCCTCCTTGGTTTTCGATATCTCTGCAAATCACTCTGGGTCTAACCGCTCTGATCACTCCCCTCTTATTTTTGTCATCAGTGCTACCTGTGAGCCATATACTCCCCCATGTTCTCCTTCCTGTTCCTCTGTGTCTCCTCCAAAGATAAACTGGTCCAAGGTAACTTCTGCCTTCTGTAATTCTTGAGTCAGATTGTTTCAGTGAAGTGTGGTGGCTGGCCATCTCCAGGACTAGGTAGGCTCCAGTCTCTCTCAACAAGAGTGCACTTTCAATCAACAAGAAACATGTCGGGGCACTCTCCAGTGAAAGTGTTCCAAACTCAGATTCTTGGAACTGGCACTTAACTCTCAGATGCCAGTGTGCAAAATACAAAGGTCATCTTCTTGTGGAACGGAGCCAATATCCTCAAAAGGATATGCACTCTGATTCTTGGCCATAGTAGTAGCTACAAAGCACTGAAGTGTTCTCTGCAATGCAGGTGAGAAGGTAGACTGCCACCAGTTGCCCAAACATTTTGCCACCGGCTAAGTTGTCAGAGATTGGCCTGCAAGCTCGATGTCTTTAGCTTGTGCTGAAAATTTCACAAGCTCCATCTTGATCTTGTTGGCATTAGCAAAGTTTTCAACAGTTCTGTTTGACTCCGAAGACCTACAAGGCTGTCGCTGACACAGCGGATGTCATCAGCATGGACGGCAGAACGACCATGGTTAGTAAGACCATCACTATTATGATGCAATTGTTGCAAGAGTGTATCCATGACCAGAAGGAAAAGTACTGGAGACAGGACTTATCCTTGTCGAACACCTCTACTGATGCTGAAAGAGTTCTCCACGACATTTCACCACACTCTGTGAGTTTGTGTAGCTACCAGCTCTTTAGCAGTCTCCAGCTCATTCTATGAGAGGAGCGTGGCATGTTTGGTGTCAAAGCTTTCTTTAGGTCGTAGAGACAAAGATTATGGAGTGTCACCCTCCCTGGTAAATTTGAGGAGTGCTGCAAAGACTACATCAGCACAGGATATCCCTTGCTGATAAGCTGACTGTGACATGTGTAGGAAGCCAGAAACCTTCAAAGGTGGGACCATTCTGTTAAGCATGATTCACTCCAGACATTTGCGATGGCAGATGTCACAGTTATTTGGACTGTGCCCTTTTCCCTTGTAGACTGGATTGAGTTTTCAGGGAGAGGGGGATGGTTTCTAGCTGGATGATAGCAGAAAAGATTCGTAAAAGCCAGGTGGAGGATAATATTACTTCCAAACTTCAGGATCCACACTGTCAGCTCTTCCACATTTTCCAGACTTGAGAGATTGGACAGCTGCTTTGACCTCTTAAATGGTAACATCTGTTACGAAAACATGATCTTCATTTGCATGAGGTAGCTCATACTCCAGCTACTTTACTGTTGGGTGATGATCTGCTTGAGATTGACCCAGAGAACGAAAGTGTGTTGTCCATGCTTCGAGTAGATCAGCAGTGCTAGTTGTGGCAGCCCATGCAATATGCAGCTTGTGACATTTGTTTTTCTTCTTCAGAATGCGGAGATCATTGCTTCTTAGCAGGGTGTCTCTCTCCTGTAAGAGTTTGCGTTCTTGGCGGGCGTGACAGGTGTTAACGCTTCTTGGTTTTCATACAGGGCCACCCAGCACCTCCATGATTCTTTGCTCTCTTTACGCTTCTGTTTGAGCGATGTATCATGAATGTGCGTTTTCACACGTCTTGTACCATGTCTACATGGAAAGTGGTGCAGGGCAGCATCCCGAATGACTTTTGTGACTCTTATGATCTGCTCATCTACGTAATCGATGCTTTCCAGAGGTGTCTATAGAAGGAGATAATACTTCGAGAAACTTGAAAACCATTAATGGAGCCATCCTTTGCTGCTCTCCTCCAGTCATGCCTTGGCTGGGTAGTTGGTGTCTCTGGTGTGGCAATGTCCGTGATTAGAGTGGTGGATATTGGGAGATGATCTTGGAGATCGAGTGGATGGGGACTGTGGATCAGGCACGAGTCAATCCGGTAAGCTGAATTGCTGTCCAGGAGACAGTAGTCTAGAGTGGTTTTTACCACACTTCAGGAGTAGGTATATATGTGACAGACCATGTGCCACATCACTGAGGGAGACAAGAAATGAGCTCATGAAGCATCCCTGGGGGTTCATATCCCCACAGCCTTGAGGACCACCAGAGCTTCCTAGATGAGCATTGAAATCACCCATGACAAGCACACTTCCATCCTAATGTAATGAATGGTATCAACCCTTCTAATCTCGAAACATAATTATTATTATTATAAAGTCTGAGGATGAAAGGTAAACTCCAATGATTGGTAACATCTCTGATGATGAAAGTTTTTAAGTTGAACAGCTACCATACTGTCGGAGTTTGCTTCAATCAGTGTGACGACAAACGTCTTCCTCCAGAGTACACCCAAACTACCACTGCCTCTGACAAGATTGGATTCTTCATTTAACCTGTGTTGTCAGAACAACCCACTTCTGTAAAGCCAGGGTGTACCTCATGAAGCCCATATGGCCAGAGCCAGTGTTCTGAGAGAATCAGAATGTCATGGTCTTCAGCTAGGTGCTGAAGGTAGGTTTAGAGCCTTTGATAAGTCCGTAGATAAGCATGGCAGTTCCATGCTTCTATTATGTTAATTGAGTGAGGTGGAGAGTCGGCTGCTGACTTTGAGCTGCACCTGAAACAGGCTGCCATGGAGCCAAATATGGTCGTTGATTGTTGATTTCAACCTCAGCTGCTCAGCGTGCATGCGCAGCGAGGGTTACGGTATATACATGGTTCGTTAGTGTGTGGTGTGTCTGTCTGTCTGTCTGTTACCACTTTTCTGCCACCACGCACTAGACAACAAAATAGTGATACCAAAAGGTTCAGCGCTACAGTGGCTTGATTAAAATTTGGCGAATTTTTCTCGTGATAAAGCCAAATTAGCACACGCACGCTTACCTCGACCTTGCTCTGTGTACCTTATAGGCACCAGAAGTTGCAACGCGGGGCATGCATCAACTGTAACTAGCCCACGACAGACTCTCAGTGAAACCGTGAGCATTCAGTAGCTCTGAATGCAATAGTAAATAGCCCAGCCCATCAATTAAACCGGACTGAGTGTATGCGCCAAGGGTTGCACTTTAGTGCTTTTCATTCTTCAAGAGGTGGCACTGTAGCAGCAGATCGCGTTAATTAACTTGATTTGAGATGCTTCCTCCTTTGTGATGTTTCGTAGTCGTAATACTTCAACAACCTTAGAGAAGCGGAAACTTTTCAGATCCATAGTGCAAAAATCCATGCCCAACGGCAATACATAATAGCGGACACAGGGAAACCAAACTACAGGACTACATCATTGAAGTAGAGGCAGACGACGTCCTCATCTGATCGACTCAGTAGACAGCCTAAGCATGGAAGTGGGGTAATGTTAAGAAACAGAAGATCTGTTTTGCATTGTTTGTTTGGGGTGTGTGCATCATGAGTAGATGTTGTGTGGTTTGAGTCGCTGCAATGCACATCAAGTTTCCTTGAGGGCTGGTTGTGACAGTTCCGAGGCCTACCAACTCTGTTTTTCATTCTTTAAGAAGGTTTGTGGAACCACTTTCTTCCACTTAAGACACTGTATAATTATACCAATGTCAAGATATCATCAACATGTTTACCTTTTGCTGGATGTATCGGCATACCTATTCTTCTCACTAGTAGCTACACTGTGTGGTCCAGCCTGTTTAGGTTTGTCAAAGCATCTCAGAGCTATCGCAGAGGAGAGGTAAAGTGCGTCGATAAACTCAGACTTTGAGAGGGTCATAGACACACCAACAGCAGCAACTTTCTCCATCCCATGAGACACACTACGTCCAGGGTGGGAGGAAAGCAATGAGCATTGAAGAAAAACGGCAAGGTAAAGCCTGAGCAGAGCAGTAGCCTCCATGAACCGGTCAGAGAACAAGAGAGTTATCATCTGCTGTTTTCAGTATGAGCTCATCGAACAGCATGTGTAGTTTGCCAAGGGTTTGCACTTTAGTTCTTTTCATCATTACTCTGTAGCCTATAGAGTAATGATGAAAAGCCCAGCTCCTGTCTGGAGAGTATCGTCCTCTTAAAGGAGTTAAGAGGACGATACTCTCCAGACAGTGTAAGAGCTTAATGTTCGAATGTGACACCTCCCCCTTTCACAATGCACAGAGGTGAAACTTCCTCATCTATATCCATCTGTCGCTGCTTCCCCACGTGTGACCAAGCGCAACATCACAATGATCCGGCTGCTTGTAAACTGCCATGGTCTCGAGTCTGATACCTGCACATTCCGTCGTATCTCAGATCCTACCTGCAGGCTCTGCGGTTCTGGACCAGAAGATCTCACTGCCCCGCCCTCTCCTCTATGGGGCGCCGTCTGTTTGCAAATAGCTCTTTTTTGTTATCCCGCGCTTCATTTGTAAAATCCGCGCCGGTTATACAAATCCCTTCTGGATTATACATACCCCGGACTGGATATAGCATATCCAGCACTGGATATATAAATCCTGCACTGGATATAGCATATCCCGCTCCGGATATATAAATCCTGCACTGGATATAGCATATCCCGCCTGGATATTATAAATCCTGCACTGGTAATAGCATATCCCGCTCCGGATATATGAATCCTGCACTAGATATAAATCCCGCACTGGATATAAATCCCGCACTGAATATATATCCAGTGCAGGATTTATATATCCAGTGCGGGATATGCTATATCCAGTGCTGGATATGCTATATCCAGTCCGGGGTCTGTATAATCCGGAAGGGATTTGTATAACCGGCGCAGATTTTACAAATGAAGCGTGGGATAACAAAAAACAGCTATTTGCAAAATTTTTAGACAGACGGCGCCCCATACCTCGGTGGATCGACGATCCACCTCTACAGAGAGAGAGATCATCGAGTTTATTCACAACCTGCACGCTGAACGTCTTCGCCGTCAACTTGCCCTCACTGAATCGCCACCTTATAAAGAAAAGAAGGCGTAGGTCGCGCGCGCGTGCGTCACGGTTCAAAGTTCATTTTGCAGGACCGACCCCCGAGGAAGTTCTGACGGTGTTAGCAGTGCGCGTGCGCTGACAAGCAACCTGAAAAGATACTGAGCTGAGGCCTCTGCACACCGCTGGAAGTATACGAATGGCATTGTTGAAGTCCAAAGTGAAATCGTTTCTCACCGGACTTCAGGTTAGTAGTTGTTTGATTTTCGATTCCCCTTTACTGGGGCAACAGTTGGTAGTGTACCAACTGTCGCCCCTCGGAGTTTTACCGTTCGTGTTGCCACAATCATATCACGTTCTGTGTTGTTTGTTTCCCTGCACGTGTGGCGCTTCTTTTTACAAGGCGTGTAAACGAGAACACGTAGTAGTCTCGCGCCCAAACCCCGCCCTCCTTCTGTTATGTTTGTCATGGATAATTGAGTAGTACAGTAGCTATGATTCATTGTAGTAATGAAAAGCACTAAAGTTCAAACCCTCGGCGAAGTAGCTCGCAGAGAGTCTGACACGGGCTGGCTACAGAAGTAGATAGCACGCGAGAGTCAATACACGCCATTCGTTGTGACTTCTTGTGCCTTCAAGATAGACAGAGCAAGCGGACCCGGTCGAGGTAAGCCTGTGCTAAATATAAGCGCATGCGCATTAACCGCCAGCGATAAAATGGTGACTAACGGCATTTCCCATACAATGCTGCAAGCGCTCTAGCTTTGCAACGGAGCAGTTTCAGAGAAAACCGTTCGAAATTTCTGACCTTCATTGCCCGTTAAGTAGGTCGTATCCTTTGTGAGACGAACAAACACCCGAGAAGTGAGATTGAGAGTAACAGACAGACAGACAGACACACAGACAAACAAACCCAACTACAGTAACCCTCGCTGCGCATGCGCGCCGAGGGTTAATAACGGTGACGGACATAGAGAATCAAGGTTCTAAAAATTCCCAGCCTTGTAGCCAGCTCGAAATAGCTGATTGGTTAAGGAGTAGGGTAGGGGCTAGACGAGCCTAGGCCGATTCATGTTCTTTTCCAAGTGCAAACTGTTAAATTTTTGTAAATGTCACCTCTCAGGTGACATCAACGTGATATAATCCTTATATCCGGTCACATGAAGAAAGAACTGCGGAGCAAGGTTTAGAACGCACCAAATGCTCGTGAGTGGCGCCAACTCATAAAGACAGACCCAGTGACCTTAAGTGAAACGGGGGGAGGAAATCAAATAACGCATATATATGTACCGTCGTTAGACATTGTGACATGTCTTAGTGATGCTTAAAAATACTTCTTTCTCCTTCTCCCAGTACACTTCTGTGTGAATAGGAAAACTGGGAGTCAGCCTTAGAACAGTAGAACGACAGTTCTTGTGCTAGTAAACCTGGGCCTAGGGCTAGGGCTAGAGATCTTTGGCCTAGGGCTAGGGTTAGAAAGCTAGTGCCTAGGGCTGGGGCTAGGGCTTGTGAGCTAGCACCTAGGACTATGGCTAGAAAGCTAGGGCATAGGGCTGGAAATGTAGGACCTAGGAAAAAATTATAAGGTGAAATGTTCTAGGGCTAAAAGGCTAGTGCCTAAGGCCGAAATTGTTCCCTAGGTATCAGAACTAGACAGGGCTAGAGTTAGGGCCTTGGTCAAAGGCTAAGGATAAGACTAGGAGCTATCACTGGTGTAATTCCAAAGCACAAGCTCACACATTTAGCAAATATTCAGAGATGGACACAGTAGGCGCTCTCTACTGGTTGTTTTTAGGCCCACACATACTCGCATACCTCATTCATCAATTTGCTTCTTTCATTGAACCTTCTATTGCACCTTCAGATATAAGATGTGTCCCAAAGGCTTCCCTGACGGCCCTGTCTCTCCTTGGCTCCTAATTTATCCGTTAAATACTCAACAGCTGTCAATTCTTTTCGGCAGGTCACAATAGTTAACTCTCTCTGTTACAAATTCGGCTTCTGCGCTCGATCGGCATTTTCGGCAGTTCTGTTGTGTGCATGCATTATTCTGCCGAAATTACTGTAACACCTTCCCTGCTACGCAAACGTGCTATGGCGATCTTTCTCCCGGTTGTTTTTCTCCCGGCACAGCCTCTCTGACTGCCTATCAGCCTGCTGAGACATTTATGACATTTCTCAACTTACACTTGCTTTGTACTGAAACGGTGGATGAAAGGAACATCAAATCTCCAACTTCCATGTTCTAGTGCCGACTAAGCACTTCTGAGAATGCATTAGTTGTTTTTACGAGATAATACCATCATTCCGCCTACCCACTCTGTAAAAGTTCACAATGGTGCTAGTTTTGTTGATGTTTTTAGATGGGTGTAAATTTACATGAATGAAAACGATACTAGATGATCTGTTCCACTCAATACATAACTGAGCTGAACATACAGTACTTATTTTCTATCCTTTCTGTAGCTTTCTGCCAAATATAAGGTGCATCATACGAGCTATTAATTGGTAATACACTTTAGGGGTTGGCACCCCTTCGGCACAACATTCCCCGCAATCCTTCGCCGGATAGTCGTTACTCTAATCTGCTGTAGAAGGCAAAGATGACAGCTGCGCATAATGGTGAACCACTCTTTCCCATGCAGGCACATTGGTATTATTTTTTGTTCTACTGTATCGAGAACACTATACAAGTCATAGCCTATAAAATGTGATTTTTGCCTGTGCTATTTATGTGAACCTTGGAGTACAGAAATAGTTTGAGTGCTCTTTACTTGTTATACGCCTCAGGCATTTTTAACCCTCGGCGCGCATGCGCAGCGAGGGTTACAATACTTGGTCTGTCCGTCTGTCTGTCCGTCCGTCCACGTTTTCTGCCACCACGCGCGGCAAACAGGTAAAATAGCGACACCAACAGGGTTCAGCGCAACACCCGCTTCATTTTTAAAATGTCTATTTTTGTAAATATGCCGCGTTCAGAAGTTATGGCATGAAAACCAAGTGAACAAGCTAATATGCAAATTAGCACAGGCTTACCTCGACCGCGTCCGCTTTATCTGTGTACCTCGGAGGCACAAGAAGTCACAACAAAGGGCGTGTATCAACTCCTGCGTGCTATCTACTACTGTAGCTAGCCAGTGTCACATTCTCCGCGTGCTACTAGCGGGAGATCATGAGTAAACGCATACTAATAAGCCCAGCCCATCAATTAGCGGTACCGCGCATGCGCAGTTCGCTGAGGGTTTGCACTTTAGTGCTTTTCATTCTTTCTTAATTAAACTTGTTACCCTCGGCGCACATGCGCAGCGAGGGTACAGTAGTTGGGTCTGTGTCTGTGTGTCTGTCTGTTACTCAACATCAATGTTTTTTCGTCTCACTAACGATACGACTTACTTAACGGCCAATGAAGGTCAGACATTTCGAGCGGTTTTATCTGAAAACGCTCCATTGCAAAGCTAGAGCGGTTCCAGCATTGTACGGCTAATGTTTAGTCGGCCATTTTTTATCGCTGCGGAAAATGAGCATGCGGTTATATGCTAATTCGACAGGGCCCGCTTGCTCTGTGTATCTTGAGTTGAAGGCACAAGAAGTCACAACGAAGGGCGTGTATCGACTCCTGCATGCTATCTACTAGCCCGTGTCAGACTCTCCGCGAGCTATACTAGCGGGAGACCACCACGAAATGGCCCAGCCCATCAATTAGCAGTATCGCGCATGCGCAGTTCGCCGAGGGTTTGCACTGTAGTGCTTTTCATTAATAGTTGTATTGATTGAGATAAAACTTGGTACGCATGCATAATACATTGTTTCCATGACGGCAGTATATTGTTTGAACTACAACAAATAGCCTCAGACTCTTCACTCCTCAAACTTGTAAACAGCATGGAGATTAAAATTTGTCTTAAAATCTTAATAAATTTTCATCAACATCGGAGTTTCTTTACTAGTACCGGCAACCATGTTTTTTTCTTGATACTACCGCTAAAAGCTTTTGGTTTTTTCTCAGATATGTAGTTTACATGCTTCTTATTCACGTTCCTTCTCGCGCATCCCAGAGATAGCCTCCGCGATTGCTTGCTAGGTAGTGACGCACTGGTTTTTTCTCTCTTAGATAATAAAAAGGAATATGAAAGTAACCCTGAATAATCCATGTCAAATTCCCGAACTCTTTAGTGGTGCGTTTTAAAACTTTCATCTGCCAACCAATGGCCAGTGTCTTAAGCTCATAATCAGAGTTTGCACATATTGTTTGAACACTGACAAATAGCCTCAGGCACTTTTCTTTAAAATTACTTCTTAACTACTCAAACTTGTTAACAGTTGGCAGTAACATGGATTGTGATAAGAGTTGGTATGCATAATACATAGTTTCCATGATAATAGCATATTGCATATTGTTTGAAGAACAACAAATAGCCCCAGACTCTTCACTACTCAAATTTGTTAACAGCATGGAGATCAAAATTTTTACGCACTGTTATTACATCATTTCCATGTGACCACATGTTGACAACAGACATTCTGGGGGGCTTGCCCCTTTCAGAGAGACACATAATAGTAGTATGTAAAAAATGAATAGAGACAAATCCTACGAAGTTAAATAAGAGGCGTAAAGGGATGGTATATAAAGAAAGGGAGACGAGAGATAGGGATGGGATACATGAAGCATGTTTAACGAGCACGCTGACACTCGCGACCCCATCACGCAATCCCTATATTGTTGCCTAGTATTAAAGGACTTAAAGCTTGAAAATACAAAAAGTTGTGCTACCAACAACGTCACCATAACAATGTGAAGTCATGCTACTGAGTAACAAAGGGTCCGAATGGAGTTTACGAGTGGGGATTGTGTGATGGGATCGGGGGTGTCAGCGTTCTCTAATTTCTTCATTAACCATGCTTCATGTACCCCATCCCTTTTTTGTCGCCCTATTCATAGTAATTGTTATAATTTTGGAACTAAATCATTAATAATGTTAATTGATATGTAATTATTTCGAACAGAATTAATGCTAACTTAATAATTTTTCAAGAAAGATAAAGTTCGAGATGACTCCCAGATAAACAAAGATGACATACATCAGATGCAGGTATTGTTGCAATGTTATAAGTTTTGTTGTTTATTAGCATCATTGACTGAAGTTAATTTCATTTTGCAGGATTAAAATACGTCTTCAGTAAGCACATTTTTTATGAAGTGATATTTTTACCTTTTTCTGTGCAAGTCATTGAGCCATATGTATTAGTTCCTCCCCAGTTTCAAAAGTGTGTAGTTGCACTGATGATATTACATCAATGACATTTAAAAACCCAACCATGTATTTAAAGTGACCCCCGTTCTTGACTTTTTCAAAATGCATTTTTAGTGCCTTGGTAAGGTTTTTTATGCCTATATGCATAATATGTACAATTAGACGTGGGCAGATTCAAATCAGATGGCGTAAAATGTGGATTCTGTATTTCCAAGTGCATGTTTCCACGGAGATGCCCGCCAAAGATGGTGTCTTCGATGGGGGCGTGGCAAACTTCCTCGCAGGGAAACTCGCTCTGTCGCAGAGAACTCGTCGCGACGACTTCAAGCTTGCTGTATCTGATGCTTCTTCGATGAAAGGCCTCTCTACGATGCAAAAAGAAACTAAAATGAAGACATTTTTAGCTTCACTCAGCGAGAGTGGAAGACGACGGACACGGACGACTTGATGGCAAGCACAGCCTCCGTCTTAATAGGTTATACTGCTTGTCAATGGAAAATAAACAATTTATATGGCCTCGGAGCCCTTAGTAGTGTCTTCGCTGTGCTCAGACAGCTTCAGCTCAGGGTTCCTCAGGCCGTCCAAATCACATATTTCCATTGACAAGCACTATAACCTATATGTACATTGAAATACCTGCGAATTTTTTTTAAACAAAAGAATGGTATAAAAAGGAAGAGAGGCAAGATAGGGATGGGATACATAAAGCATGGTTAAGGATCCGATTTTTTGCATGCTAAACCCCCGACCTCATTCCACAAACCCTATATTGTTGTCTGGTGGTCCACTGATTCTCATTAATTGGCACCTAACTTATTTTTAGCCATGGTAACCACGCCTTCATTTTGAAGCATGCCAGCTTTCGAAAGGCAAACGGAGTTTCTGGTGCAGTTGTTTCTCATGAAAAACCAGGTACTTGGTCTTCTAGCAAGTAGCGGCACATTACTGCAGGGAGCTAGCTCTAGCTACAGCTCAAGGGAGATCGTACGCTAGCTGTGCGAAAAAGCGTGCATCGACCCTGCCTACTTTTGCCGCGTCGACCTACAAGTGCTCCCTTTCACACTGACGCTTGAACATGGAACAGGACATGTAGGAATTTTGTGGCTCCCAACAAGTTTTCAAACTAACACTGTGGAATGCGTGCAATGCAATTGCTCACATTCGCGTGAATTTATGAACATATCAGTTTACCAGTATATACCGGCTAATGGTTTTTTCTTGATAGTGCTGCTAAAAAACTTTTTCTCAGATTTGTAGTTTACAAGCTTCTTATTCATGTTCCTTCTCTCACATCCCAGAGATTGCCTCTGCGATTGCTTTCTGGGGAAAAGCTTTTTTCCTGTTAGTCACGCACTGTTATTTCTCCCTTAGATAATTAAAACGAATATGAAATTATCCCTGAATAACCTATCAAATTCCTGAACTCTCTTAGTTGTGCTAATTAAAACTTTCATCTGCCAACGAATGACCAGTGTCTAAGGTCATAATGAGAGTTCGTTAATTTTTTATCTATGTACAGCCGACTGATCTCCCCCGCTGTCGTGATGATCCTAAAAAGACTGAAGAGGCATGGAAAGAAGTATTATAGAGAATGTTTGTTATAATATGCTTTTATATATGGTACGTAGATAATTCAAGAAATAAAAGATTATTACTTTGAAGAGGGTTGTATAGACTGCAGCCAACGTGAACTTGAGGTATATGTCTCTTTCATGTGTTCTTTCTTTAAGGCTCTGTGTTTGAGTGATCAAGTAGTTGATTTACGTATTAGAGAGAAAACTAGTTCATGACTTGCTGGAAGCAAATGGATCTTCGCCATTATGCGCTGTTGCTTCCTCTGAGTTTTACTATGTGTAGGTTTATCCGAGCCAATTTGTGACAAAAAAATTGGTGTAACACCTTTGTGTCATGATTACATTATGCTGAGAATTTGATCTAGATTACACCTTCAAATACTGAATGTGTGCTGGAAGTTTGTGCCTAGTTTTTTAAAGGAATACTTAGTGTTTTGCATGCAATAACACCTGAATTGTGGACAAATTTTGTGTTTACTCTTCAGAGCCTTGGTCCGGAGATCAACATGACTTCTCTTGAAGAAAGAATATTTTCCCTCAAAACAAGAGACACAGCTGTATGTACATACCAAACAAAATACTTGTGTTAAGGCTAAGAATGTTTTGTAGGTGTATCGAAAAATTTATGACCTTGTCTTCTCCAACTACACTGCATATGTACAGGTAACGTGTTGTTGTGTTTATAGTTGTTCTGTATGACAGCATTCTGTGTCCCTTTTGAGTTTTAATTATGTAGTCCAGCGTGTGTATCTGTTTTTGTTGTATCCCTCGCTCCCACAGTCAATGTTGCATGCTCACTGCCTAAAACCTACTTAACCACAGTCACTGTTTTGTGTATGCATAAATTTTACTGTGTGTCACATGTGCGTGCATAAGGTCATGTTTGTTAACAATTAAGTTAGTCTTTGCTCCAGAGCTTGGAAGATGCTCAACCTGAGCTCTGTCTATATCCATGTTACTATCCCAGACCTAGATCCCACACGCAACATGGTGGCAGTGTCGGGATAAACAGTGTTTTACTCCAGTGGGTACCAACGAAAGCCGAGGAACTGGTTGAAGTGCAGCACGAGACGGTGGGCGAGGAGCGATGGCAGCCAGGATGACAACTTACCAAGTTCATCCGCCAGAACAGTTTGCCGTCCATCGGCTGATCTTATAACAGCAACAACACCTCTAATGCCGTGTCCCTTCTGAAATGTCCCTTACAAGGGGCTAGGGAACTATCTTCTGAACTGTGAACAGAGAAATGAGAGGGCCTACAGCCAGTATCTTGCTCCTAAGTCTCCGATGTTTCATCAGCCTGGGATGGAATTGCCATCTCCTGAGGTCAAGTGTCACCTACTTCTGCCCAAGACCCAGGAGGGTTGTGAGGCTGCTAACCATTACTTCTACAACAGTCTAGTGCCTGCTGTGCTTAATGCCTCCTCCCTCTCTGAGAAGTACGTATTCAATCCTCACATATTGAGTATACTCTTACTTCGAATCCTCTTGTGGTACTGAGCCGGTCAGCAAATGCCCTAAGAAGCAGTGACCTCTTCACAACAATTCACTCAAGGAGTTGACTAGGAAGGCCAAGCAGGAGCTGCATCGGGCTCGTCAGCAGGGGTTTCCAGCTGAAGTTATCCAATCTCTGTCACGGCAGTTTTTCACCTTGGTCCGCAGTCACAGTAAGCTGGAGAAGACTGCCAATGGTCGATCTGTTTTTAGCAATGTCAGGCAGGCTACTGAAGTACTTCGACACGTCACTCCAGAAGGCTTTCATGCCTTCCACCCCTGGGTGTACTGAGCACGTTCAATCCTCAGTGAAACACAGAGTAAGCACAAGGCTTTGGCAGTGTGTTGGCTGGACATTGCTAATGCCTATGGTAGTGTCCACCACTCACTGATCCAGTTTTCCCTCCAACACTACCATGCCCCGCCCCAGTTCCTCTCCATTCTCCACGCTCTCTACAGTGGTCTCGAGGCCACAGTCATCACAGAGAGTTTGGAGACTCCTCTCGTCTCTCTATAGAAGGGGGTGTACCAAGGCGACACTGTGTCGGTAGTCATCTTCAACACGGTGATGAACACTCTCGTTGACACCATCTCCACAAGGATCGACCTTGGGTATATACCAGTTTTCAGGCTCCGTCCGCTGTGTCAATATCCTGCAGTATGCAGATGACACATGTCTTGTGGCCAACTCCCCAGCCTGCTGCCAATACTTGTTGTCAAAGGTGGGGGACTGGCTGGACTGGACGGGGATGACTGCAAAGGTGCCCAAGTGCCAGTGTATCTCGTTGGTGGATTCCACTTGAAAGTTGAAGGATCCTCATATCCACCTCAGTGGTGCTTCCATCCCCTTCACCAAGGATCCAGTCCGTTTTCTGGGCTTGAATGTCCAGGTCACCAGCCACCACATCTCTCCCAGATTACTAAGTACGGTAGTACTTAGTATATAGGGATGACACAGGTTGTCCTGCATTATGCCCATACATTGAGATTTTGATGTTTCACTTTCTATTTCAATCAGATCCAATTTTTGACACATCAGACTAATTTGTATCGTCACAAAGAGCATGTATCCAAGAAATAGCTTATATTCCATAATCGGTACTTGATTTATTCACTTTTCAATTTTCATCTTCTTGTTGTTGTTGTTCAGTTTAGACAAGCGTATCTCAAAAACCAGGTAAGATATGGAGATCAAACTTTGCACAAAGATTGGAATCCATGACAGGTCGTGCAAGAGCATTTTTATTTCTTCGTAAACAATTTTGTTTACATGTAAACAACAACAAATATGCCCCAGGCAATACATTATTATAGAGACCAACAAAGTGTGCTTACTGGGTAAAGCTAATACCCAGAGCGATAAAACTTTGTACACACATGCAACCCATCATTAGTACCAAAATGTAAACATTACAAGTTTGTAAACAACAACAAACAGCCTCAGGCAATAAAAACTTGGAAAATGTGTTTGTGCCTATAACTTTCTTATGGTGGGTCCTCTAACAATGAAACGTAGTACACTGATGTACCATGATGAGAGTTGATTGAAACAAAAGTTACAAGTTTGTAAACAACAACAAACAGCCTCAGGCAATTGAGTGCTGTTTTTCCTATAAATTTTTACACTTATCTACTTTGAAAGTGAAATAAAAATATAGATGACAACTAACAGACGAGGCAATAAATACATGTTACTTTTTATATGGCATTATGCCCCAATGCATGTGCATGCCGTAAAAAAAGGAAAGGAGACAAGTATATAAATAAATAAATCCTGCGAATTAAAAGGGTGTGGAATATAGGGATGCCATAAAAAGCAAGGAGACAAGACAGGGATGACCTGGGCATGTGATGCAGTAGTACAATGGGATGATGGTTACATCTTCAAACTGACATTTCTTGCTCATGTAAATTTTACTCCACACAAGCCCTATATTGTCGCAAAGCACGAGTGATCTCTATCGTATGATGTGCAGCTATGACTCATTTCCTATGCACGTAAGACTGGTAGCAAATGCCCTCTCTGACAGGTCTCCAGTTTTGAATCGTGACTGTTTACTTCAATGCTCACTCAACTAACCGGTTTTACAATGCTGCTTTCCCTACAGAATTCGTTTGCCAGTCTTCAGACTACATATTCAAATCTCATGTCATGAGTAAGAGTGGCGACAATATAGGGCTTGTGTGGAGTAAAATTTACATGAGCAAGAAATGTCAGTTTGAAGATGTAACCATCATCCCATTGTACTAATGCATCACATGCCCAGGTCATCCCTGTCTTGTCTCCTTGCTTTTTATGGCATCCCTATATTCCACACCTTTTTAATTCGCAGAATTTTTTTATTTACTTGTCTATATAGCATTGTCGCCAGACTCCAGGACATACTGACAGTGGCGGACAAGGCTCCATTGGCAATGTGTCAGAAGCTGCGCTTATACTCAGCTTGTGTCCTCATCTGTCCTGGCCTCTCCTGACACAGGAATTCCCCATCACCTGGGTAGAGAGGGAGCTTGACTCCCTGGCCACACGTCACATCAAGTGCTGAGCTGGCCTCACCAAGTCAGCCAGCACCGCGATCCTCTATCTCCCTCACTCAATGGGTGGCCTCTGTCTACAAGAAGTTGCAGGTGTCTCGCCAGACCAAGCTCTCGAGAGATGGACGTGTATGTTTTCTGGCGGACAGAAATCTGAGGCATGAGGAGAGTCTGTCCAGAAAGACGTTTCGACCTGAGAGAGGGTCTAGAGACAAGACCAGATGGGGAGAGGAGAGCACTGACCAAAGCAGCCAAGACTCTTGTTGCTGAGGACGCTAACACTTGGTCTTCTCAGCCACTGGCAGAGTTTGGAGTGGCAGGGCACATGAGTGGGTGTATGGACATGGAATGTGCTAGTGTGTGGTCAGCGGTGTTGAAGGCCCTGCCTGAGGAGCAAGTGAAGTTTTCCCTTAACGCTGCCCTCGACGTGCTGCCTCACAACGACAACCTCCACATATGGAAGAAGAAGTGAAGCCCAGCCTGCACACTCTGCAGTGAGAACCAGACTCTTCTCCACGTCCTCAACAACTGTTGCTCAGAAATGAACCCACGCTGTTACAACGATCGCCACGACCTTGTCCTGCAGGAGATTGCATCCGCCATCAAACCATATACAGAGCTAGAGAAATGACAAGCACTGAAGTGCAAACCCTCGGCGGAATACACATGTGCGATACCGCTCATTGATGGGCAGCATACTTGTACTTGGTCATAAAGAATCTTCCAGCCACAGACAAATAGGTATATACAGAGGATAAAGAGACACCACGAGAAGGCGTGGAGTGCAAAGAGGCTATTCAACACACTCTGTTAGGATGGCCTTCACGACAGTCTCACTGAAGCACTACCTCTACGTTTCTACACAGCTCTCTGTCAGAGACTGTAATGCTCATGAGAGGCAACACAATGGTAATTGCATAAGTTCTCAGACTAGAGATGCTTGACAGAATACACACTGGGCACCAAGGAATTGTCAGATGCGAAGGAAGGGATAAACAGCCAGTCTGGTGGTCTTGACTCTTCAGACAACCAAACGAACTAGTGAAGAATTGTACCACCTGCTGATAATGTGTCCAGCGGAGGAGCTATATAACCTCTGATTCCATCTAACTTCCCAGAATTGCCATGGAAACTAGTGTGGAGACCACGAGCAAAACCCATAGTCATAGCCCAGCCCATCAATTAGTGGTACCGCGCATGTGTACTGCACCGAGGGTTTGAACTTCAGTGCTTGTCATTTCTCTAGCTCTGTGATAGAGCAATCACTTGAACAGTATCTCAGTACCCTTTACCTGAAAATTCGTGCCCTAACATGTTTCTTGGACGTATAAACTACTTGTTTCCGTTTTCTTAGCTTCGGCAAAGTGGGCTGCTATAGTGAACCACCACATTGATTTATGTGAAGGTATACGTATGCTGTTTTGTGCCTCTTTTCATCCTTTAGACTTCAATCGTTTTTTTCTGATTCTCTGTTATTTTTCAACCGTAGGAACTGGAGAATGTCACAATGTTACAAGTGTCATTGCAGGATGCAGCAAGGACTTGTGTAAATGCTCGTAGGTTTGTGAATGTAAAGTAGCGCTTTTTGTGCTAAGAAGCTGTTGTTTCTTTGTATGCATGTATATTTTTGTGTCATACGTGACATTGTTACTACCCAAGAAGTGACAAGGTAGCAAAATAATAAAGCAACACCTAGAGACAGGACCATGCCCCTTTCTGCCTTCTATCCTTCCAGCCTTGAGGCACACTTCAAGGTAATTGGAAGCAAGCGAGTAGGTTTATGGTTATATGTTGGTAGGATCGACATAATTATTATACCTAAAAGCAATGCGTTTTGTTGAAAGAAGTGCATAAGACAGTATTCAAATTATTATTATTGTCTTTGTTGTGTAGCACAGAGCCATCAGAATCGATGACGAGGGTGAGTATTGTGTCTCCCATGATATCTAGTAGTGTAGCTAGCCCATGTTAGACTCTGAGGAGGCAACGGGTAAGCCAACAGCATAGTGCTTCTCAAGCTCTACATACCATACAGAGGTGGTGTTTCTAGTGTTTTTCAATTTTCAGCTTTTCCTTGTACATAAGGTCATCGCTTCAAAACTATCTATTAATCATTAAGGGCTTATTGTTGTATTGTATAGTAGCGGCTGGAGCTTCATAGAGTTTACGCATTCACACAATTTCAGAGCCTCGTCTGGCATTGAAAATGACTAATTTGGTGATATTCAATGTTTGTTTGTGGCGGTGCATTTTCTGTGCAGGTTCCTTTTGTAAGTATGATGCCCCACAAGCCTTATGTTG